ATGTAAAGCTAGATAGAGTTTAGAAAACTTCTCCAATAGATGACAAGATGGAGAGATGGAGATTGGAGCCCAAATAAGAAGATGATCTCATCCACTTGTGAAAACAATCTTCAAACCAAACAAATACTAAAACACACTTAAACCCTTGTTTAAAACTCTTTAAACTTGTTTAAAACATTTCTTGAGTGCCCTTAGAAGTATGATGGCATGGAGTATATATAGGCTCATGAAACAACCCCAAAAACCCAAGAAAACCAAGCAAAAAGACAAAAAAACGGATATATCAAAATCTGGAAAATATAGCCGTTATGCTACAGTAACCACGTCCAGAGAGTTTGGCGGTCGACCGCTGGTACTGTAGCACTGCGTTTCAGTTTTGTAAAATCAATTAAAAATAGTAAAATAGCTTCAAAAAATATGAAATTTTGTGGAAAGGTTATAGACATATAGAATAACATGTTAGAGAAAGAATTTCTGAAAAATCGTTTCCCAGTTGAGAGAAATAAATGTTTGAACACAGATTTACAGTTTCTGAAAAACTGCTGACATACGTGATTTTGTAAAATCAATTGGGCATAGTAAATCAACTCCAAAAATAGTAAAATTTTGAGGGAAGTTTATAAACATGTAGATAAACATGTCAAAGAAAGAATTTATTAAATATCACTTCTCATTTATGAAAAATCATCTGTTTTGTAAAACATGCACGAACATGCACTAACGAAAAAACATGATTTTGTAAATTCCATTAAGCATAACAAATCAATTCCAAACTTGATGAAATTTTGCGAAATATTTATAAATATGAAAACAAATATGTTAGAAAAAGAATTTCTCAAATTGAATTTCTATTTGTGAAAACTCATGTATTTTGTAAGTGTGTCCAAAGCATGAAAACTCAAAACCATGCATGTATATATATAACTATATATATACATAGAAACCAAATACGTGTGTGTATATGATATTGAGCTTAAGGTACTTAACACACATAATATAAAATATAAACTAGATTACCCAAGCTTGATGTTGATCTTCAATTAAGCTCGACTTGGTACATATTAATTAAGCTCGACTTGGTACATATTGCGGATGAAGCTTGAACTAGATCTTTAACTTTGAATTGCAAGGCTTCACTCTACTATTCCGCCAACCTCCATTGGATATGATCGTTGAAGCTCTATTCCATCCATTCTCCAACTACGTTGTTTGTCTATAATACATAGGAAAACACAAATACTAGACAAACAACATTAGTGGTAAATTGTTTGTTAAACATCATCAAAACAAGAAGGCCAACAAAATGTGCACCCTTGGTATGCATCCCAATGACACCGCCTCATTCTCGGTTCGAGTACTTTCACACAATCATAATATGCGCTGAAACTAGCGGTAGGTCTAATTTCAGCAGCACCATCAGACTTTTTCCTATAATACAATTTAATATTTAACATCAAACTATCTAAACTTAACATCCAATAGCCAACAGTAACAACCAATAGTAACAACAAACAATGAAATGTAACTGTTATGCCATACACCTTAACAACCATTCGCTAGACTTGTTATAGATCAATAAAACTTAACGCATAATGTGTAAAATCAGGTATCATATGCCAATATCATCAACCAATATCTAGAGTTAACAGTTTATACGAAACGTTAAGAGCTTATAACAAAACGTAACAACAAGTCATTCATTGCTAACATTAATATGTTACATTTCACAGATCCAGACATATAGTTCACAATGCATCAACATTAATCTCTAACATCAATCTATCTAAATTAGAAAATTAAACGTCAATGTACTCCTTTCTAGATTTCTTTAATTCATGTTTTGAACTTTGAATTTTCCTTTTTCTTGATAACCCCTTTTGCATGCCCAACAGGGTCTGGGTGGCTTCATCAGTGCTGCCATTCTCTGATGATGACACATGGGTGGACGAAGACTTAGAGGAGGAGGGTCCATGGTCAGTCTTAGACGGCAAAGGGGGGTCTTTAAAATTCTTGGAAGGCGAGGGGGGATCTTTACCAGCGACGAAGGAGGACGGTGAACATCTTCGAATTTACCATCTTTTCTTAATGAAGTTGGGGAATCTGGGTTCGTAGTCGATTTTCCGGCCAATTTCTGCCGATTGTGACAAAAGCCTAGAGTGGAGATTTGGGGATGTTAGAAAGTAGGCGGACGCGATTACCAAAATCGGGCACTGTAGCGTTAATTAGGAGTACACTAAGGTTTTAAGAAGAATTCGCTCAGGTTCCTGAGTTGGTGGAGCTGAAACTCAATTTTATAATGTATTTTAGGTTTATACAAATGGACAAAAGTAGAGAAAGCTGGTGCACATCACTTTTTTAGATTTAGGGGCATTTAATCAATTTTTCCGAAATATTTTTTGGAAGCATGTAGTGAGGGATGGGATGTGTAAAAGGATTCTAACATGTGCAGGAACTAGTCACCTCAACCTCAAAGCCAATTGCTAGGCATCATAAACATTGTGTAGTCACTGGTCCCTGTGAAGAGATAGCTGTCAGGGGAGCATGGGCCAACAACCTGTTCGGCCTGTTAATGGCCTTTTGGGCCCACGTAAGATGCCATACAAAGACCAAACCAACAAAAAGAAATCTTGTTGCATTGAAACACAAAACGATGGCAAAAGAGTCCAATGTGAAGAGTGCATCATGCTTAATCCTTAATGATTATGACTTATCATTAATTTTATGCCCAAAGTGAGTAATCATTATCCTTCTCACTTGCCTATCCTGTTTGCATTTCTCATGTACCAAATTTGTGACACTCATCAGCAACAGCTAGCTTCCATCATTAACCAACTGTCATACTTGCATATCAAAAGTTATTTACATCAACTAAAGTCACTTACATATCAACACTTTTCCCTGAATTTTCTATAACATTATTCATGAGCTATTGTCCTGCGAAAAATTAACTATAATCTAGAGAACTCGAGCCCAGCTTATCGCAAAAATCGTAGACAAGTAATGTAAGCTAGATAATTTCGCTGCAGCTCAATAGGTAGGGATCGCTTCTTGAAATTACATTTTTCCCATTAAAAAAGTGTAAATTACGCTAAACCCACACGATACTTCCAGTGTTTTGTGGTAAACCCCTCAATAACTTCAAAAATCTCACTGAACCCCTAATAACTTTTTTAAATTGCAAAAAAAAAGCAATCGGTTTCCGCATTTTGCAGAAAAACCCATAAATTAGAACAGAAAAAGGCATTTCGAAAGTTTTTTGGGGTTTAGTGCAATTTATCCAAAAGATATTGGGGGATATTGTGATTTTCAAAGTTATTGGGTGTTTACCAAAAAACGCTGAAAGTTCTTAGGGAGTTTAGTGTAATTTACCCCAAAAAATCATCTTTATTCTTCTGACAAATATAACATACATTTTCAAATAGAAAACACGACTTTCTTCTTGTCCTATTGTTATAGCCTCCGTTCCAAATTCTTCAAGGGCCTTGAGAAATTTCTCTGCATATTTTTCCGTTACATGTCAGAATTTCCCTAACTATTCGCTAGTTTTGGAACTAGTGATTTACCCATTTAGCATGGTTTAAGTATCGACAGAGCATATCTATTAGAGAACGGGCTTTGCTACAAAGACCCAAAATATAGGATCAACAGGGGAGACATACGAGTTGTCCCCCTCCTATTGAATAATGAACTGGTCATCATTAGCCAGCTCATTACGCAATAGGAGTTAGACACCTCACATGTTCCGCCTGTTGGTCCCATATTTTGAGTCTTTAGAGAATTTTTCTTAGAGAACTCATGCTGGCTTTAAATCAGCCAATACAAAATACCAATTTCTCAGTGTTACATTCACAAAACTATTTACTGGACCCCCCAAAAAAAAAACCCAATAAATACTTACTGGGTGTATCTGCCATAAAAGAGGGGATATTGTCCCTCCTACAATTGACAAAACCATCCACATTGATGAGTTTTTCCGAACAGATGGGTTCTTTATTCATTTATTGAGCACTTGCTCCCACAAGCTCACACCTCCCATCAAATTAAATATCATGCGCTCAACGTTTGCAACTCAAACTTACTTGAATGAACCCATTCGTAATGAAATTTATGATAGGGAGCTCTTTCAAGTCTGTCGGCGGTGCTAATGTGCACTTCATTGAAAGAGAAAGGACATTGTTACTTTGTTATTTGTCTAATACTTAGTTACTAATTAACTTATCATGTACTTTGTAATTATGGTTATAATGAAGCTACTATGTAATATTTGTTGCATGGGATACTAAACGAAACTGAGAAAAATTGTCTAGTTCATGATATATGCTACTCTCCTGTGATAAGAATATGCAATGTTGTTTGCAGTGTTTGAAACTATGTAACAGAGCATCCATAAGGCACTCTACTAGTTGCCATTATTAAAAAAATATCAAATCATGCTTGAAAACAGGTTCCTAATACATTATGATTTTGGTATTACTTTTTCAAACAGTACTAAAAATATCTGTTGCGGGTGGTACGGGAAGCTTCTCAGCGCCATAAATAAGATGCCATGCCCTTGTTCATAAAAATGGTACGTACGTGTGGGGACGAGACTTTTCCCGCAGAAGCCTAGTAAAAACATCATATTTACCCGCACAGCTCTCACATGAATTTAATTTACTTTTCTCTACGTGCACAACACGGGGGGCGGTGGACGAGGTAAGAAAAACACATGGGAGGCCTTCACCTCTGAGGCAGCAGATGATGCTTTCACATTCACACTCGTCACGCCTCGGTCAATAAAGGCATTAAAAAAAAAACCTGAAGATGAGCTGTGGGCCCTCTTTCTTCAGTGACAACTCTGAGATGCTGTCATGTAAAGAAGTAAATGAAGGAGTAACGCTTGAGAAAGATGATCCCAGAGTCAAAATGAAGATGGGAAGATGGGGGGAAAACTGGGCTCACAGCATATTATTTCACACCACAAGAAAGAAGGAAAGGGAGGAATTTTTTTTTACAGATACTGATACTGACTTGCAACACTCCATTTCTTGACATAAATTTCTTACACTATTTTTGGGTAGACAAACTACATAATACTTGTTCGTTCAATATCAGATACAATATTGACTTTTGGTGCTACCATTCACACTCAAAATAAGAAGAGCAAACAACAAAGCAAGAGCAAACATGATAACTAAAACAAGAACCATCTGATGCAGTTAAAAGGCCAGCATAGAACTTCTTCCTCCTCTGGCACACACACAGAATTAGTATCAAGATCGCCGCCATCGAGATTTTTGGGGGGCAAAAACAGAGAATGGAAGAGAAAAAAAAAACCCCCTAATCCATTCCACAAGTTCGAAAGCAGAACAAATTAGACCTAACCAACTAGTCTGTATTCAGAGTATAAACATCCACCAAATCCAAAGAAATGCAAGGACCTGTGAACGATTACGCTCCTATTTACAGAGAAAACTCTTCCCTATCCTAGTAAACCCTGGATCCCATGGTCAGCCAATTATAACCAAATTAACCAAGAATATAAACATTTCAACTACTTTCTGAATCAATATATCACGTCTCTAAGCACTAAACTTCGACCCTCCAACCGAAACTCTTACTGCCATTCTGCAATTTCCCAACAGCTGCAACCCTAGATCGATGACTTCCAACCATCGGCAACCTTCCCTTTTCACCGTGGGTCAATTCACTGGTTTCACTAACAGACCCTACTCTAATATCAGCCGGAGGGATAAAACAATCCATAGAAAGCCCAGGAACATTGAAAGCCACCTCCTCAATAGTCCAAGCCTCCTCCATCCTAGTTTTACTATGACTCATCGCCATCTCACCAAACCTGAACAAAGTTACCATAGATCGGCCAGAATGAGCAATCATTATCCCCTCAACAGGACGATAATCATCAAGAAATGAATTTATGGTAGTTTCCCAATACACTGCATCACCACCTCCGTGGGATTGAATGCGAGTCAGGTGTGAATCCTCAATGTGGACTAAAAGCCCGGTTCTTTGGCTAAAATAGCCGAAGAGCACATGCCTTATGATCTCTGCAGGGCCTTCACTCCTCGCTTTGAGTGTCTGAGGGTCGGCAGATAGCTTGAGGATGAAGCAATCCTCACCGTTGACCTTCTTTTCTCCAATGCATCTGGCATTGGCAAACATGCTCGCAGTTGTCAACGGATCTAAACCCTAATCAACAATACCCAATGTTAGATACTCAACTTGCTTGTCCACCAAGGAATGCCTTTTTTTATTTTAATTTTTTGGACATCTATTGTTGCATATAGACCCCTGAAAATGGTCAAGAAGTTCACTCAGGGAGTCTATCTACAACAATAGCACGACAGGGTAAGTTCGATTTGGCGATAATTCAGGGGTCCTATCGCAATTAGCCCTTTTTCTATTTGCAGTTTAGTACCTGAAGAGCTCGACGAAGGGGGCGAACAGGGCCTTTGGCTGCATGAGCACCGAGCCATGGAGTATGTCGCCAGACTATCTTGCCATTGGATCCTGCATGGACTTTGCTGCCACCGGCAGCGAGCTCAACATACCACATATCGGGGTTCATCTGCCAAAGGACGAAGCTACCAGACTCGGTGGCCCTCGATATGCCACGATTCTTTGTGACTTTGGTCGCTGTTTCAAACTCTGAGGCAACCATTCGGACTTTTCCCATGGCATAAGCGTTGCGGATTGAGCTTTGGAGCTTTAGGCCTCCTGATGCTGCTGTGTATTGTTGGAGGATGTACTGTGCTGATGACGTCTCCTGTTGTTGAAGATTAACATAAACGTCACATTTTTAGTATGATTCCGAGAAATGAAGAAAACCCACCCAAAATAAGACCATAATGCATGAAAAAGCCATTGGAAATAGCCATATCAGTAAAATTTCAGAGAAGTCCACTTTTAATGCACAAGAAACCCCCTACTGTGAGGATGCTTGCATTGAAGATGAACATATAAAATCGAAAAGGGGGCAAAAAGGATTTCTAAGAAGTAAATACCGAACCATTTTCATTCAGATCACAAAAATAGAAATCAAAAGTAAATGCACCCATATTCTACCAAAAATCTCAAAACAGCTCGCCATTAGAAAAGGGCAAAAGAGGGGGATGGGAACTTTACTCTGTGAACTTCATTAAAATTCCAAGCTCAACTGCTACTCCAATGACGAATGCATTGTGCCAGAAAAAAGACTGGAGAGTACCACATTCATCTAAAAACAGAGTGATAATAAAACCACCCACCCAAAAAAAAAAACTTCATCTAGATCCCAAAGGAACTGAGTATGAAGCACAAACTCCATTTCCACTGAGATCTAAACCCCCACTAAAGTACTCCACCAAGATTCAATTTTGAAAGAGCCCACATAACAAAACAAACCCATTCACCTAAAAAAAGCCCCAGTCTCAACTTACAATGGGAGTATCCTTAATACTCAGATGCGGCAGCGGCTCCCCTGCGCTAACGTGCACCGGCGTGACCCCTAGCAGCATCCTCAAATCCGACCGTCCACTTCCCCCGACGCTCACCGACGGGGCCCTCGACAGCTGGCCCTTCACCCACTGGCCCCATCCCTCCCCCCTCTTCATCTCCCCACTAACGCCGTCATCGCCGTCTGGGCCCTCCATTAACGGCGTCAGGGCCTCCCCTACTGGCCTCAGGCTCCCTGATCGCGATATTAACGGGTCGGGTAAGCCCGACAGAGAGTGGGCCCGCTGGTGGTGGGACTTCCGGCGAGATCTCGCCGGCGAGAGGCCGCGGACGACCTCGTCCTTCAATGCTGAGAAGAACCCTTGTTTCTTCTCCATTTTCGGAGAAGAAATGGCGAGATTGGAGCTTTTGGGTATGAAATGTAAATTTATAGTTTGGAGGGGGTTTTTAAGGGTTAAGAGGAAGGCGATGGCAGTTTCAGTGAGTGAGAGATTGGGAGTGACGATGGTGTGAAGAAAAGAAACGGTTATGGGGGTAGACATAGTAGGGAGGGTGGCTGTGCAATTATGGCGAGGTTAGAGGGGTAAATGAAAAAAAAGTAAAAAAAAGTTGGGAGATTAAAGAAACAGTAGAGAAACGACAAGAGGGGGAGAGAGGGAAGTGCTGGTGAGATCCGGTTACTCGCCGGTATTTGCCAGTTTTGTTACCGTAATATTAAGGTTTTATCTTAATCCAGCAAAAATGTGGATATTAAGAAAGATAATAGTAACTAAAGATTTTACTCTAAACCAGGCTCAAATTGAAATTCTATATAGGAAAAAATTTAAACTTGAATCTAATAACATATACAGCTTAGGAAATTTATCATTTCTTAAGCTACGAAATGATCTTGCAAAATTAGATACCAAATAAAATGGATTTTCTCCACATAAAGAAGAGAATCCACACACCTAATAAATGATATTAAAGCTTGTTGGTAGTGAATATCACTCCAAAACTTACACTAATTAAAAATTAAGATCTACTAAAACCTTAAGCACAACTTAATGATTTGAGAAGGTAATAATTTTTGGGATGTAATTTTAAGCGCACATTTTAAAAGTAGTGAGATAAAAGTTTCATACTAGCATATAACGTATTTTTTATTTAACTTAAAAATGTGTCTATTATTAAGAAGAAAATATTAGTCAGTATATCTAAATATGTAAAATCTCATGTTTTTAACAAAGATCGCTTTTAACCAGTAAAAAAATCTCTTTTACAATGATAGATTATAGCATAAGCTTGCAAATTATTAAAAATAGTATTTTGTATGAAACATTATTTTTTAGTGCAGAAATTAATTAATGGCAAGTGCTTCTATTATTTTTATTTTTTATTTTTAGCCCAAAAATAGGTGCAATGTTGTCGTTACACGCACCCGCGCGGTGAGCATAACACATTCTGACGCGCCCTCTAACGGGGCCGTTAAGTGAGATTCGTTGGGAGGTTTGACCGCCAGATTCTCTGACGGAAAGCTGACGGCGCTTCATGAGTCACGTGACTAGTGCTGCGGTAAATCTCTTTTCGTTAACTATTTTAATCAGTATAATTAACAAAGGAACAAAAGGAGATGATGGCGCTAGATGTTCACATACTTTTTAGTGAAACTATAAATGGGCCTAACAAAACAAAATTGGCCCGCTTTTCTGCACTTGATTGGATCCGTTGGATATGAATCGGACGGCTGAGATGGCTCGACAGGAAACTACAAGTCGGGGGATTTTGTGACAAGGATAGATTAAGATCGCAGAAGTTATTATGTTATGTGTTAATGAAAATATTAATGAGAAAAGAAAATGACACCATTGGAAGTGGGGACCATTTGGATAGAAATTAGTGGGGTCCACCAAACGCGGCGTCTAGGTGAAACTTCTTTTTGCTGTTATGCGTTGGAGCTGCTGATGTGCAACGTGAACAGTGGTAGTCAGTAGCATGGTTGTGGGTCGGGTTTTTTTTTGTTGTTGTTGGTTTTGGATTCAGCTTCGAATCAGATTCATATCCGCAAGTGGTTCAACAAAATGTTTTATTCTATTTTCTCTTCGTGAAATGGTTTCATTATGATTTTCTTTTTGTCAACGTTCCGGGTTCTCTGGAGTCAAAGAGTTGGTAAACACATGCAAGCTGTATGATCATAAAATGATAATTTACAATATATATATATATATATATATATATATTTTTATTGATCATAGGTTTTAGGATTTGATGGGGGCGCTCTCTCTTAATTTCTCGGCTCTTACTAACTTCTCTTGTCTTTGCATGTTTGATTTCAAACTAACTGTATACATAGGTTACATCCGCCAACTCTAGCAGTGCTACTCATAAGTCATGAGTTTGACATTCTCATCATCACTTGAGAGATGTTGTAGCCGTTATTAATTGGAGACCGAAAAGGCTGCATATTATTGAATAAGTTTGTATCTTAATATATAGATACGAGTAATTATGGTACAATATATATAACTTATATACAGCTATAATGCAATGAGAATACAGCTTTCCTACATCCCCCAACCCCCCAAAAAAAGCCCCCCATCAACTCACGTTTGATCAAACAACGAGAGTTTGTACAGAAACTGACGTACTCGAGCAGTAGTCCGAGCTCTCATGAATAATAAATTAGTTATCTGATCCCGAGAGGGTATGTAAGGAAGAAAAATCTGCTTCGAAATATATTCCTGACCAACAAGATGCGGTTGACTTTAATGTATTTGTTCATTCATGGAATACAAGATTGGTAGCGATAGAAATGGAACTCTTATTATTAGAGTGCAGATGAAAAAGATTGTATATTATTAAATAGGTTCGTAAATATATAGGTACAAGCAAGAGCAATTATGTTATTAGACAATTCATATATACAACCATAATACGATGAAGAATACAATTTCCTAGCAATTTTGAAGCTCTTGCTTCTTTTCTTTTAATTTTAGTTTGGGAGTTTTTTTAAGGGACTAGCCAGGATTTCATGCAATGATGACAAACAAGTTCATAATCAAAATCATCATTTTTACCCTTTCTTATCCTGGAGGAATACTGATTTCTTTTGTTGTGCAAAAACTTTTGACCACAACGTCATTTCTTTACATATAGGAAATGTTTTTCTACCTGTAAAAGAATCATTTGGATAAAAAAGATATTTCTTTAAGACTTTCTAGTCAAAAGAGATTAATTATATTTGAAATTAGTTACATTTGACTTATTATAATTCTTATAATTTACGTCCAAATAATTAGTGCTAGCCACAACTCCATGGAAGTAAACAATTTCTAAAATTAAAATTCTTAGAATTAAGGGTGTCCTAGTGTCTCACATGACCGTTCTCACGAGTCATTATAATAGTGGCAGTGGGTCAAAGTAAAGTTTCAGTGCGCTCAAACTCCTAGCCGACCATTTCCTTCTACAACGTCGATAATTGAATATTTTCCATTCCACGCATCCATGCACGTGCATCATAGTTCCGTGGAAAATATATGAAAGATTGGTCAAGATAAAATCTTAGAGAGCAAGCAATGAGACGATTCAACATTGTTTACCCTCAATAAGGTTATCAAGTTATTAAAATCACCGGCCATTCCTTAGCTAAAGGGCTCGAAGGTACAACCACATTTGGTGATATGTATGCCGTACTTATATACAATTCAAAGAAAATTTATTGTTCATTTCCTATTATATTTGTGGATTTGTGCGTATCTCACGTTACCGGAATGTTAGATATGTTGAAACTTAGAACCATGACTATATTATATTGTAATTATAATTCTTGTTTTGCTGCAGCTGTAGGTATTTTCTTTTCTAAGCATTAATGAGTCGGCTCTCTCGTAGCCGCCCTCTCTAGGGTTTTGAAAACCCCAGTTTTCAGTCGGCTCTCTCTTGTAGCCGCCCCTCTCTAGGGTTTTGAAAACTCTAGATCTCAGTCAGTTCTTTTTCCTCTCTGGAAGCGTGTAACGCTTCTCTCCCCCTCCCTCGTGACGGATCTCCATCGGCACGACCGTCTCTTTTCATTTTTTTCTCTGGATGGTTTCTACAATCTTTGTGAGGCACGGCCCTTCCTGTTTCACTCCAATAGTTTTGCGGCGAATTATTTGGCGAGATCTGAGTCTCGTCCCCAACCCTCACGGCAGTCTTCGGGGTTTCCCACATCTCGGCCTCCGAGGTAGCTGTCTCTAGGCTCATACAAACGGCATTGCCGTTTCATAATTAATTAACGGCATCGCCGTTTCATATTTATTTAACGGCATTGCCGTTTCATAATTAATTAACGGCATCCTCGTTTCATATCCAATTAACGGCATCATCGTTTCAGGGCTGTCTTTCGGTCTCCAATTAACGGCATCGCCGTTTAAACCGTCTCTCAGAGTCAAATTAATGGCATCGCCGTTTTAAGACCATCTATCGGTCTCATATTAACGGCATCACCGTTTCAAGCAGCCTCTCAGCTCTAAATCAATTTGGAACATGGCGAGAATTGATGATGTTGGGTTGGCCGAGCTTTGTGCCAACTGCAGCTTAGACGACAAAGATGGCCTTATTTTTCTGTCAACTAAGGACCGGACAAATTCACCTTCCCTTAACAACTGTCTCTTGGGGAAGGTTTTTGATAGGAAGATTGCTAATAGAGATGGTCTTGAGTGTGTCCTTAGGAAGGTATGGATTGTTGATGCTCCCTTCCAGGTGGAACATTACAGTGGAAGGAATACTTTCCTTTTCAGATTTGGTTCCAATGCAGATAGGGAGAAAGTGTTTGATGGTGGGCCATGATGCTTTGAAAGAAACTTGCTCAATTTGATTGTTCCTCGTGGGGTCGGTGTCCCAACTTTTCTGGATTTCTCTTCAACTTTATTTGGGGTAAACGTCAAGAATGTACCACTGGCTGCGATGAACGAGAGGTGCGCCAGAGACTATGACTCACTTATAGGATAACTTAAAGGAGTTGATTTGCGGGATAACAAGATGCGGCTGAGAATTCTCGTGGATATTACTAAGCCTCTAAAAAGAGGCATACATGTTTGCTTTGAAGAAACCAGGGAGATTGAGAAGCTCTTCCTCACCTATGAGAGACTTCCTGGCTTTTGCTTTTCATGTGACATTATTGGCCACAAAGTTGCTGAGTGTGACAAACGAAGTATACAAGTCGATGGTATTTTTATCACATCCAAAACCAGATATGGTTCTTGGCTCAGAGAACCCCCTCCATCTTTCAAGGCCTTTGAGACTCGGTCTTCTGGAGCAACTGAAACAGATCGTGAGGGGCAGAAACAACCATCATCTCGGGTGGTCTCAGATGATTCTCAGGATGATGATTCACGTGGCAGTGCTCCACTACAAATCATTCTAGTCACGGTGAGGTGTGAAACCCCTCCTGTACCCTTGCCCATGGATATCGGTGTTGGCTCTGATTTGTATGTCATTATAGTTTCCACATTCACCTTCGAAAAGTGGGCAATATCAAACTGGAAGAGGCTTGCTAGAGAGTCTGGGCAGCAGGGCTCCAAACATAAAGAGAAAGGAGGCAAACGTAGGAAAGAT